CCCATTACATATCATTCAGCTATCATCACAATGTGAAACCATTCAGCCCTCTGCTTGCTTGGTTTCAATCATTTGATCGTGTGGCCGATATGCCTAGATGTCCCCTTAATAATTATTCGCCTCTGATAGGGAAGTTTCACTGGACATATGGCTGCACAGCTAAAGACTACATTTCCCAGGCTCCCTTGCAACCAGTTTCTTGCCATGTAAATGGTTTCTGGCCAGTGGGATGTCTGCAGCATCTGAGATATGGCCTTAAAAGGCAAGGAGGATGACATCCCTTTCAGTCTCTCCCTTCCTGGTGCAGGGATGTGTTGGGCATTGGTGTGTCCATCTTACACTGAGATGGAAGTGCTGTGTTGTGAATGGTAGGGCAACAAGCTAGAAGGCTAGAAGAAAGACATGATTATGGAAGTAGGCATGCCCCAAAATCTTCGGGATGAATTGGCAAACTGGAGACCCAGGAGAGCCATGTTTAGTTCCAGTCCAAGTTTGAAGGCATGAGTACCAGGACAGCTGATGGTGTAGTTGTTGTCTGAAGGCTGGCAGCTCTGAAACAGGAGGGAAGGGGGCAGGGCACAACGTCTAAAAGAATGACATAGACCTTGAGGATAGGACATAAACTGGTTAGAACCAACTAGGTCCAGGATGGCAGAAGGTTTGACTTCCAGTAGACCTTGAGCCTCATTCTATGCTCATTGTAATACATTCGCATATGCTAAAGGTCACACCCACAGGTGCCATGACAGTTCCGAGGCTGACCATAAAAGGCCAAAGAGTGGGCAATGGCCCAATTCCTGGAAATCTCCACCCCTTCTCCAAGATAGTTGGAATAATCCTCCCACTCTTTAGCCTATAAAACTACCCAACCCATAAAAAGCCAATCACCCCATATTTCGGAGCCTCTCGCCTTCTGAGATGGTCCACACTCTGTGGACTGTGTTTCTCTCTAAATAAATCCACTTCTTACCTATCAATTTGTCTCTCACTGAATTCTTTCTGCAATGAGACATAAAGAACCTGAGCTTCATTAAGATCTGAGACCTGGTGTGTGATCTCAGTTAAAAGACAGTGTGTGGGGGGAATACTTCCCTGGTGGTACAGTGGTTAAGAATCCGCCTGCCACTGCAGGGGACACAGGATTGAGCCCTGGTCCAGGAAGATCCCACGTGCCGCGGAGCAACTAAACCCGTGCGCCACAACTACTGAGCCTGCGATCTAGAGTCTGTGAGCCACAACTGCTGAGCCTGCGTGCCACAACTACTCAAGCCCGTGTGCCTAGAGCCCGCGCTCCGCAACAAGAGAAGCCACCGCAATGAGAAGCCCGCGCACCACAATGAAGAGTAGCCCCCGTTCACCACAACCAGAGAAAGCCCGCACGCAGCAACGAAGACCCAATGCAGCCAAAAATAATATTAAAATAAAGAAATTTATATATATATTTTAAAACAGACACTGGCGGGGTCACTTCCCTGGCAGTCCAGTGGTTGAGACTCTGGGCTTCCACTGAAGGGGGCGCGGGTTCGACCCCTGGTCAGGGAACTAAGATCCCACATGCCATGTGGCGCCGTCAAAAAAAAAAAAAAAAAGACACTGGGTTTAAGTCCCACCCCTTGGGTTCAAGTCCCATCTGAATTGTGCAGTTTCATCTTGAGACCCAGGAAGAGCCAATGTTTCAGTTTGGGCCTGAAGGCAGGAAGAAAGCTGATGTCCTAGTTCCTTTTTTTAAAAAAAAATATTTATTTATTTATTTGTTTGTTTATTTATTTGGCTGTACCGGGTCTTAGTTGCAGCATGCAGGATCTTCATTGTGGCGTGAGGGGTCTTCAGTTGCAGCATGCAGAATCTATTTTCCTGACCGGAGATCGAACTGGGCCCCCTGCATTGGGAGCGCGGAGCCTTAACCATTGCGCCACCAGGGAAGTCCCTCATGTCCTAGTTCAAAGGTAGTAAGGCAGAAAGAATTCTTTCTTATTCAGAGGAGAGTCAGCCTTTTGTTCAATTCAGGCCTTTTATGCAATCTTCTTTACTAAGTTTCCTGATGTAATATCGATCTCATGCAAAAACACCCTGAGAGAAACACTCAGAATAATGTTAGACCAAACATCTGGGTACCCTGTCAAGCTGGCCCAGTAAAGTTAACATATAAAATCAACCATCATAGTTCCTGACACTGTGGAACTTTACTCACTGTTACTATCACTTAAGGTTGCATATTCTTGGACTGTTACATGAGAGGGAAATAAACTTCTGTGTTGTTTAAATCATTGTTATCATGGTCTTTGCTAAAGCAGCTGAATTGGTGTTCTACCTTATATTTTCCAAAGATATCTCCTGTCCCCACTCACTTCCCCCATTAAGAAGCAGAGTCGAGTTCCCCTTCCCCTGAGGTGGTGTGCGCTCATGACTAATATGTAGCTGTTGCAACATGGCAGAAGAGTGATGCTGCATGATTTTTGAGGTCAAATCAGGGAAGGCAATGCAATTCCTTTTTTTTATGCGGGCCCCTCACTGTTGTGGCCTCTCCCGTTGCGGAGCACAGGGTCCGGACGCGCAGGCTCAGCAGCCATGGCTCACTGGCCCAGCCGCCCCGCGGCATGCGGGATCCTCCCGGGGGCACGAACCCGTGTCCCCTGCATTGGCAGGCCGACTCTCAACCACTGCGCCACCAGGGAAGCCTGCAATTTCTTTGTTAGCTGAAATACTCTTGAAACCTTCAGCCATCAGGCAAGTAGTTCAGCTGCCCTGAAGCCACCAAGCTATAAGGAAGCTCAAGCTATCCCACACAAAGAAACTACATGGAAAGGCTTGAGGCTCCATGAAAATATATGCTCCACCAGGTCCCGACACCCTTCAGTCTCCCTGCTCTTTCGGTTCCAGCCACTATCTGACTGCAGACACTGAGTGACCCCAAGCTGGAACTGCCCAGAGAGCCCTTCCCAATCTCACTACCCACAGGCCTATCAAAGATAATAAAATAATTGTTGTTTTAAGCCACTAAGCTCTGGGCTGATTTGTTACACAGCAATAGTGAACCAGAACATCTGGTATAACTTTTCTAGTGGGAGAGATGGATTCATTTTTACTATGTCTAAGCAGAAGTGGAAGCCCCAAATCCTACTCACTCTTCTCCACCCCAGAACCTTCACTAGATCAGCCACCAGGGTCCTCTTCCCCTGAATAACTTAGCATCTACAACATGTTAGCCCTCTCCTTTGCTGTCCTTCCTCTATGTGCAAGCGTTCTTCCTTTCCTGGAGTGGTAGTCAGTTTTTCTTTTCTTTTCTTTTCTTTCTTTCTTTCTTCCTTTCATTGGAGTGTAGTTAACTTACAATGTCATGTTACTTTCAAGTGTACAGCAAAGTAATTCAGTTATATATATATTGAATATATATATATTCTTTTTCATATTCTTTTCCATTATAGGTTATTACAAGATATTGAATACAGTTCCCTGTGCTTTACTGTAGGTTCCTGTTGTTTATCTATTTTATATGTAGTAGCATATATCTGTTAACCCCAAACTCCTAAATTCTCTCCTCCCCCCACCCCTGCACTATCCCCTTTGGTAACCATAAGTTTGTTTTCTGTGTCTGTGAGTGTATTTCTGTTTTGTAAATAAGTTCATTTGTATCATTTTTTTATGTTCCACATATAAATGATATCATATGATATTAGTCTTTCACTGTCTGACTTACTTCACTTAATATGGTAATCTCTAGGTCCACCCATGTTACTGCAAATGGCATTATTTTATTCTTTTTTATGACTAATATTCCATTGTGTATATAGACCACGTCTTCTTTATCCATTCACCTATCGATGGACATTTAGGTTGCTTCCATGTCTTAGCCATTGTAAATAGTGCTGCTATGAGCATAGGAGTGCATGTGTCTTTTCGAATTAGAGTTTTCTCTGGGGTAATCAGTTTCTAAAATGGCTCTCAATGACCCCCACGTCCTGATATTCATGTCCTCATATAATCCCCTCTCCTGTGACTGTGCTGGACCTAGTGACCTGCCGCTCATGGCAAAAGTGATGGGATGTCCCTTCCGAGACTAGGTTATAATAGACTATGACTTCAGTCTTGCCTGCTCACTTTGATTAAGCTTGCTGCCGTGTTGGGAGCTGCACTATGAAGGGGTCCCATGGCAAAGAAAGGAGTTCCAGCCAACAAGGAACCAGGATGCTGGCCCTCAGTCCAGCATCTCTCATGTGACCGGATCTTCCCAACAACCATTTATGGGTGCTTGGAAATGGATCCTTCCCCAGATGAGTCATTGGATGAGACCAGAACCTCAGCTGACACCTTTTCTATAGCCTTGTGAGAGAATGCAAAGCAGAGGACCCAAGTAAGCCACCCCCAGATCCCACCGATTATGTCCATCTTGTAATATACATCGGTAACTTTAAAACACCTATAAACTGTATTTTCCTTTGTTAGAAGAGTCTTAAGTTACTTCCCTGGTGGTCCAGGTGTTAAGACTGCGCTTCCACTGCAGGGGGCACGGGTTCCATCCCTGGTCTCGGAACTAAGATCCCACAAGTCATGCGGCATGCCCCCCCCCAAAAAAGTCTTAAAACATCATTTTCTCTCTTATCCCTTTGGATATACAATAAATAACAGATTGTACTAGATTCAAGGTCTTATAATAATGTGTAAGAGAGATTTACTATTACCAGTGAGCCATGGGAGGGCTGTGAGCAGGTGAGGACCAGGGCCAGCTCTGGATATAGAAAAACCCATCTAGGTTTATGTGGAAGATGGGCTGGAGGGGAGGGACAGGAGGTTGGGGCCTATGAGTGGGGCTGAGTAAGAAAGCCCTGTCCAAGTGACACAAGTCAAGCTGGAGACCTGACAGCACCCACGAGAACCGTACAATTCTGGCAAATCCATCTCCTTCTCTGGGCTCTGGTTTCTGCATCTATAAATAGGCCATAATTATCCTAGATGTATTAGTTATCTACTGCTGTGTAACAAATTGCTCCCAAACTTAGCAGTTTAAAGCAACAATAAACGTTTATTGTCTCACACAATTTCTGAGGGTTGGAAATCAATGAATGGCTGAGCTGTGGGGTTCTGGCTTAGGATCTCTCACGAGGTTGCAGTCAGGATGTTGGTGGGGACAGCTGTCACCTGAAGGCTTGACTGGGGCTGGAGGACTTGGTTCCTCGACATGTGTGTTTCTCCAGCGGATGACTGCTTGAGTGTCCTCACAATGTGGCAGCTGCTTCCTCTGAAGTGAGTGATCCTAGAGAGAGTCAGGCAGAAGCTGCAGTGACTTTTATGACCTAACCTTGGAAGTTACACTGCCATTTCCACAACGCCCTGTTAGTCACACTGTCAGCCCTATTCAATGCGGGAGGAGACTACACAGGGGCCTGAATACCTGGAGGTGAGAATCATTGGGGTCCATCTTGGAGGTGGGCTTCATAGTTCTGATATAGTATCTTTATTATTGTAAACAATATTGACTTCAGAACTATCTCAAAAGTTTTTTCCCCTCTGCTCAACAGCTGTACCATTTAGAGGTCTGTGGCTGCATTAAAAGCCCTTTCTTCCTTCTCTGTAACTGGGATGGAGGGAGGGCTAATTCATTGGGCTGGAATAACAGACACAAATAAAGCCAGCTTCAACGTTAATATGAAACACTATTTCCCAAGGACATGCTTTCTTACTCACACTGTTGGAAATTCTATCAGTAAAAATGAAACATCCCACTCTTGCCTGTAGGATTGAAGTCATTTGATTCATAGTAGCAGCCTTGATTTCCAACCCAGGTGCAGAGTAAAGGGTTTCTGGACCCAACACTACACATCAACATTCATCTTGTAGTTTGCAAGGATACAGGACCCTGGTTCCTTTTGCAGTCCACACACTGCTTGACTTTGAGCCTAACATACAGTCATCACCTAAATTCCACTCTTCCTCCAAATCCTATAATAACTCTACCTTTTCCTTTGTCAAGATGCTCCATGGTTTCTCTGTTGTGTGGTCTCCATCATCTCAGTGGGTCAATAAACTTTAATTTGTCAGACTATATTCCTGGTGTTGTCAGGCTGATGGATTAAGATACCTACAATCTTCAATTGCCGTGGCTCCCAGCCACCCTTGGGAGATAGATTCCCTTCTCTTATATGCCCAAACCATTCATCATCTGGCCCCAGCCTATTTTTCTAATCTCAGTTCTTTTTTCTTCTTACTATTTTCTTTTGAAAGGGAGATATAATCATTTCCATACAGTAAACTGCACGTCTTATGTGTACAACTCAGTGAATTTTTAAATATGTGTATGCCCAAGTAATCACCACCCAGATAAATATATAGCACATTTCGGACACCCCAGGAGCCTCTCTGTCCTCACCCTGCCAATCTATCACCAATCTATCACTTTTTGAACTTCAGATTCTTTTTATTTTCACAGAAACACATATAAACATTCATAGACTTTAGTCATCTGGAACGTCCTGCCTCAAAGAATGCTATCTTTGGCCTCTGATGTTCCTTCTGTCCTGGCAAGGGCTCAAGTCCCAACCGAAACTTTTGAAAATATTGCAGGAATGAATGAATGAATAAAAGTTATAACTGCGATTGAATGCGCGCCTGGTGGAATGGCGCCACAACCACTTCCTAAGGGGAAGTGCTGATTGGGCAGTCACGTGATAGGGGCCGAGCCTTCCCGGAGCAGGTGAGGCAGGTGAGGTCCTGTGTCCGGATAGCCCTGCGGGGCAGCGGCTCGCGGCGGCCATTTTGCGGGGCGATCACGTGAGAGGACGCACGCTCAGCGGGGCGCTCACGTGACCAGGGGCGTGCTGCGGCCGCCCGGGCGGACCCGGCGAGAGGCGGCGGCGGGAGCGGCGGTGATGGACGGGTCCGGGGAGCAACCCAGAGGCGGGGGTGAGGCGGGAGGCGGACGGGCGGGAGGAGGGCGAGCCCCTCGCCGGCCGACCCCAGGATCCCTCCTGCCGGTATGGGGCCGTGCGATCGCCAAGCACTCCGGGGCAGAAACTCCGGGATCCGGCGCTGCCAGCTTCCACCCACTCCCGGGGTCCCGGGCTCTCTGGCCTCTGCGTCCGGATCCCTTCCTGTCTGGCGCTTTCGGACCCCCGAGAAGCTGGGGAGCCCCATAATCCAAGCCCACGGGGCAGGCCCGGGCTTGTTGCCTGCACCACTTCCTGGTGGGAGGGGCGGGTCTCCCCTCAGTCCCCTCAGGCCAGGGGTCTGGTTGCATGAAGTGTTCCCTCAGCCTCCTCCCCCGGAAGAATGAAGGATACAGGCCCAGGACTCCTGCCTCTTTCTCCATCAGGGACTCAGCTGCCTGGGCCCCCAGTCACTTTATCTACCAGGGTCCCCTAGCGTTGTCCTCCCTCAGGGATCATGAGCCACTCCAGTTCCCTGGATCCCCCTAGGACCCAAGAGTCCAGGCACCTCTTACCTCCTTTCTCCTCTAGGGCCCACCAGCTCTGAGCAGATCATGAAGACAGGGGCCCTTTTGCTTCAGGGGTGAGTCTGAGGTCTGATTATTGCGGAGCAGATTTGAGGAGTGAGGCCCCATTCTGATTCTGCATCCCCTGCAACTCCATTCCCACTCTAGTTTCATCCAGGATCGAGCAGGGCGAATGGGGGGAGAGACGCCTGAGCTGGGCCTGGAGCAGGCGCCCCAGGATGCATCCACCAAGAAGCTGAGCGAGTGTCTCAAGCGCATTGGAGATGAACTGGACAGTAACATGGAGCTGCAGAGGTGTGGTCCCTGGGAACCAGGAGTCCAGCCAGTGAGCCCCTTCTCCCTCAGAACCCAGGAGTCCCAGCTCCCAACCCCCACTTTCCCTGGGATCCTGGAGTCCAGGCCCACAGCCCCCTTTTCCGTCAGACCCAGGGGTCCAGGGCCCCACCACTCAACTCAGCACTCTGGACTCCCAGCCCTCCCCTGCCCTAGGATCTTGAAACTCTCCTTCAGGGAGTCATTTTCCCCAGTTTCCTCAATGTCCACCTCGTGGCTCTCCCCCATGATGGCTTCCTGGCTCAGGCCTCAGTTTCCTTATCTTTGGTATGGGGTGGACACCAGAGTTTCCACACTCCGCCTGATCCTCCCTCCCCAGCACTGGCTTTCCTCTCTCCTGCAGGATGATCGCGGCCGTGGACACAGACTCCCCCCGAGAGGTCTTTTTCCGAGTGGCGGCCGAAATGTTTTCTGACGGCAACTTCAACTGGGGCCGGGTTGTCGCCCTTTTCTACTTTGCCAGCAAACTGGTGCTCAAGGTGGGCGGCTGCAGGGCTGTGAGCCCAGGCAGGCTCCCCTATGAGGACCTGGGACTTGTGAGGTCAACCCCTGTGGCAGCGCAGTAACCACAGAGGGAATGGAGAGAGGCAGCTATGGACCGCTTGTCTGCTTTTTCATTCATTTATTCATTCAACAAACATTTATGGGGCCTATGGTGTGTGTGACCTGTACTCGGCACCCAGGACACAGAACAGAAAAGGCTAGGTCCCTGCTCTCAGGGAGCCCACGTCGTATGATGAGTGCTGAGCGAAGTAAACTAGGGTGACGTGATTGGGCAAAGAGGTCAGGAAAGACTTCTAAGAGGAGGTGACGTGAAAGCTAAAGTTGGAATGACAAGAAAGATGCAGTGATATATTGTATAAAGATGGGGGAAAAGGCATCCCGTAGAGGGGCAGAACATTCAAAGGCCCTGAGGTAGGGCCAAGCCTAGTGTGTTGTGGGCAATGAGGAGGCCCATGTGGTTAGAACAGAGTGAGGAGGGGGAGAAGGTGAGAGATGAGGGCAGATTGCGAGGGTCTTGTGGGCCGCTGTAAAGACTAGCTTTACTCTGAGTGCGACGGGAGTGATTGGCTGGTTTTAAACAAGAGAGTGAGGTGACCTGATTTATAAATAGAAAAGACTTTTCAAGCAAGGAGAGCAAAATGTTAATTGTAGAATCTAGGTTGTGTGTATATGCCTGTACGCTTAGAAACTTTTTTAACTTTTCTCTTTGAAGATTCTCATTATAAAATATTGGGGGAGGGGAAGCCCAGCAAATTATTTTGGCCCTTTTGGGTAGAAAAATGGATTATGGGGCACAAGGGCAAAAACTGGGACACTGACAAAGAGGTACCTGTAATAATCCTGGCTAACGGAAGACTGACCTGGAGTCTGGGGGCAGCATTGGAGGTGGAGAAGTAGATTTCTTGATGTGTTTGCAAGATTGAGCTGATGGGGCTTGAATGTTAGAGGTGAGGGGGACAGCAGTCAGGGTGATGGTAGGGCTCTGTGTGGAGCTGGGGACAGCAGGTGAGAAGCAGCGAGATAAAGGCTGAGTAGGGAAGCTTAGGGAGTTGAAGAGCAGGCGTCAGGCCTTACCTGGTCTGAAGGTCAGAAAGCCCTCTCTGGGGAAGTGACATTAGACCTGAGCTGTGAGGGATGAGTGAAAATTCCCTAGGTTGAGGTCCATTGAGGCAGCAGAATTAGCATGTGCAAAGGTCCTGAAGCAGGTTAAGAATTTGGTGGGAATGAAGATATGGAAGAGGGGTGGGAATTCCCTGGCGGTCCAGTGGTTAGGACTCCGTGCTTCCACTGCAGGGGGCACGGGTTCGATCCCGGGTCGGGGAACTAAGATCCCACAAGCTGTGTGGAGTGGCCAAAGAAAAAATACAAAAAGTTTAAAATTAAAAAAAAAAAAAGATATGGAAGAAGGGCAGTGAGGCACAGAAAAGAAGAGGAAAATTGGAATGTGATCAGGTCAGAGGCTTCACACAGAGCCTTGTGGGCCAAGATGTGCTTTTGATTTTTTATCTCAGAGGTACTAGGGAGCCATAGATGGTTTGTGAGCAGGGAAGTTGACAGTGACCAGATCCACTTTACAATTTATGAAGCTCATTCTGACTGTGAGTGGAAAAGAGACTGCAGAAGGGCAGGAGGGGAGGCAGAGAGTTGAGAAAGGAGGCTGGGGGCCATTGCCCCAGGCAGTGGCGACAAGGCTTAGTCCCTAAGGCCCAGTCCACTCCCTGCAGGCCCTGTGCACCAAGGTGCCCCAGCTGATCAGGACCATCATGGGCTGGACCCTGGACTTCCTTCGAGAGCGGCTGCTGGGCTGGATCCAGGACCAGGGTGGTTGGGTGAGGCCCCTAACCCCATCCAATCCCCCACTCCCCTGGGACCCCTGGGCCTTCCTGAGCCCACCACAGTGGTACCCTCCTCCCCATTTTCGGATCATCAGATGTACTCTGTAATGCGTTTTCTTACATGTCTGATCAACCCTGATTCATATGACACCCACTGACCTCTCCATGACCCTTGACCTCTTGGTGACCTCTGACCCGACTAGTGCCTTCTGCCCTCCCTGGTGCCTCTACTTCCTTCGGAATCCCTCAAGTTCTATGATAACTCTTTGGCCCCCAACTCTTTAGTACCATTAATCTTAGGCCCTTGCCCCCACTCATGCCCTCTGACCTCTCTGTGACCCCTCACGTGCTGGCCCAGGCTGAGCTGCTGAACTGCCTCATGTCCCTATCCCCAGGACGGCCTCCTCTCCTACTTTGGGACACCCACGTGGCAGACAGTGACCATCCTCGTGGCCGGAGTACTCACTGCCTCGCTTACCATCTGGAAGAAGATGGGCTGAGGCCACCAGCGGCCTTGGACTGTGTCTTTTCTGCATAAATTATGGCATTCTTCGGGAGGGGTGGGGACTGGGGGCCATGGGCATTTTTCTTACTTTTGTAATTATTGGGGTGGGGTGGGGAGGAGTGGTCTCGGGGGGCAATAAACCTCTTTCGGGCCACACTTTCAGAGTCTGAGTCACTGGGCCCACTTCCTGGCTGTCGCAGGAGACCAGGCTTCACGTGCTGACCCATCTTATTCTGAGGTTGCCTGGTGCCCTCTATGGGTAGGTGGTGAGTTAAGTCTTGGCCCTGCCCTTAAGGAGCCCACAGTCCTGAGGGGAACCGAGGTGACTCGAGATCACATGACTCATGTATCACAGCCTAGGGTATTGTGTTAGAGGCAGCACTGTGCCAGGCCCAAACCCGGCAGAGGGGGCTGGGGCGGGGGTGGGGGGTGGATATCAGGGTAGCAGGGTGCAAAGCAGCCTCCTGGACCCTGGGAACTAGGGCCTGGAAGCTTCCACCATATGGGACCACAGGAAGTTGCACATTTACTGAGGTGGAGAAATGGGGAAGAAGCTGGAGGGGGGCAGACCTCGGGAGGACTAGGAAAGCAGGGGAGGGCGCTGGAGCCTTTTGGGGAAGCCCCTGGAGGCTGGAAGGCTGAGGAGGCTGGAGAGAGGGTCCAAGGGAGGACTCCAGGGGAGGCCTGAGCTTGAGCTGTGTGGTTGCAGAGGAGACACACAGGCTGGAGACTGACAGGTTGTGGAGGGAGGGGCTGGAGGAGAAGGAGGAGGGGTCTAGGGTCTGGCCCCGTAAATGGGAAGGGCCCTCCAGGAGAGGGGCAGCCCCCTGGGAAGATGCTGCGCTCACAAAGAGGCACAGTAGATTGAGCCAAAGAAGGAGAATCAGAAAAGGGAATCACAGAGAATAAGGTCACTCGGAGAGTCACAGTTGGTTGTCACCTCTCTGGCTGTCTTTCTTTGGCCGCGTTGGGTCTTCATTGCTATGCGCAGCTTTTTTTGTCTCTAGTTGCGGTGAGCGGGGGCTACTCTTCATTGCGGTGCCTGGGCTTCTCTTGTTGCGGAGCATGGGCTTTAGGCGCGCGGGCTTCAGTAGTTGAGGCACGCAGGCCCAAGGACAGGCGGGCTCAGTAGTTGTGGCTCGTGGGCTTAGTTGCTCTGCGGCATGTGGGATATTCCCCGACCAGGGCTCGAACCCGTGTCCCCTGCACTGGCAGGCGGATTCTTAACCACTGCACCACCAGGGAAGTCCCACCCCTCTGGCTCTCCATCCCCCTCTCTCTGGGTCCTTCTGTCCCCTTCTCTGTCTCTGTTCCTGTCTCTTTGTCCCTCTCTGGGTCTTTCTGTCCCCCTGTCTCTCTCTCCCTGTTTCCCTGGGTCACTTGTCTTCTCCTATCCCCCCTGATTCCCCCCACCTTCTTCAGATAATCTTTATCTCACCCCTTCCTCTCCCTCCACCTGTGAGCACTTCCCAGGTCACCTCTCCTTTCCCAGGCTAAAGGTCTTCGGGCTGAGGTTTGAAATTTGGTGAATGAGTAACTCAGACTCCATCGTGACTGTGTGCCTGGGGCAATTGCCCCTCCCCCAGAGGCTTGCCCCAGAGACGGCCAGTCAGGGGAGAGATGTCAGATAAGACAGAAGTGAGGGGAGACTGAGTCACCACCCAGAGAGAGGGGACAATATGGTCACAGGCGGGAGCCCAGGGAAACCATCAAGGGAACTAAAAAGACAGTGCCTTGACAAAGCACTCGAGGTGGCACCTTGGGGGAGGGGGCCAGACTTCGGGCCCAGCCAGGCCTACTTCCCCGGGTCCCAGGCAGACTGCAGTCCACCCAAAGTAGATGAGGTCAGCGAGCGGGCTCCACCCCGCCCCTCTGCGGGAGCCCCTTCCAGAGCTGAGTTCAGCATGACTCAGCACGGCTGCTCTCCTGGCACTGGCCCAGACACCCCTTGAGGACCCCAGATACCAGCCTGACTGGCGTCCCCTTGATCAGGGAGTACCCTGCCCGGGCTGCTTGGGGAGGCTTCTCTGCAAGGTGAGCCCTGACCTCTGCTCCCAACGCCCCAGCGGCTTCAGCTTTCCTGCCCCAGCCGGACAGCTGCCTCCATTAGGGCACTGAAAGAGGGTCAAAGTCCTGTCTTTGTTTCTCCTTCCCCGCAAACAACCACAATGGGAGCTCCTGGAGGGCTCCTTCAGCCAGCTCTGCCACCCAGGCACCAGCCTGGACCAGACACACTTTACAAATGTCCATTGGTTAAAGACAGACATCCCATCCGTAGGTCCCCAGACCCTCCTTGTTTCACCAGGACTCAGTACTTCTCCGTGATCTTGAAGGAGCATGCGTCAGGCAAGACAGGGACAATTTCAGCGAGGCTGCTTCAGCGTCAAAAAGAATTCCCAGTCTCTGGCTGCCTTCAAAGTCATCTCCACGAAGTGCAGCCTCAGAGGGACCCCCAAAACTCCAGTGTCATTTCACCCCTCCCCATCTCAGCTTCCAGAAAAAGCGAGCCCCTAAAATAGCCCCTAGGTATTCCAAGGGGCTCAGACAATCTTTCGAGCGCTCCAAAGGGCTCTCCAAGACCCCTGACCTCTTTAAAAAGCCCCTACTAGGCTTCTGGAAACATCCCTCTCCCCCACTCCGGGGCTGAACAGCAGGGCTCTACAACTGTCCTTTTAATCTCGCAGATCACTTCAAGGGCCTAAAGATCGCCCTACCCCCCCGGGGAAGTTTCCAGAAAAATATGGACTTCCACTGTGAACTCTAATGCTACAGAAACTCCCCCCACCTTTGAACCCCAAGGCTCCAGGTCCTCCCAGAGAGAGACCCAAGGTTCCAGAAATATCATCTCACAGCCTTCCAAACTTCTCAATGATCCGGGTACCCCCGTATCTCCCAGCGCAAACCCCAGTCATCTGGAGGTTTCAGCACCTCTGAGGAACGCCCCCAGGGTTCCAGTAAAGCCCGTGCCCTGACACAGCACCAGAATCCGATCTACTTTCCTGAGACACCCCCAGGACCCAGGAATGATTATTTCCCAGGGTTCCCAGTGTCTTCATTAATCTTTCACCTACTAGAGAGTCTCCCTCCCCACCCCCACCCCCAGAATCCCTTGACTTCGCAGAATTAGCCCCAGAGCTGTTGCATCCCGCGAAAACCCCCACCCCCCCCATTCCCCATTTCACAACAGCCGTCGCCTACAGGCGCGTGACTTCCCCACCTGCGGGGGGGGGCGGTGTGTGTCTAGGAGTCCTATATGCTCCTGATTGGTCACGCGTGGGCTCCAGGCCCCGCCTCCCACCACCGCAGATTGGCCGATTGCTCTCCCTGGCCGTCCCACTTCCGAGGGCCTGCGCACTATAAAATAAGCCGCCTCGGCCACAGCAGTTTTCATTGCGCTCGGCGGTTCCCCGGATCTGTCTCTTGCTTCAACAGTGTTTGGACGGAACAGACCCAGGGTCGCCCTATCTTCCAGCCTCCGACCACCCTCCAACCTTCGGAGTCAGCCACTCATCTATCCACCCTCCAACCTTCGGAGTCAGCCACTCAGCTGTCCTCGGTCACCGGGACCAGCCAACACCATTTTTTGAGCCGAACTCCTTATTACCGATCAACCATGAGCTCCCAGATTCGTCAGAATTATTCCACCGAGGTGGAGGCCGCCGTCAACCGCCTGGTCAACATGCATCTGCGGGCCTCCTACACCTACCTCTCTCTGGTGAGGGTCCCCAGGACGCCCCCAGCCCAAGTTCCCCTCAGCTGCGCACCTCCGGCCCTCTGCGCACGCGCTGGCCTTCTTTGTCCTGTTGGATAGTCGGAGGCGGAGTCCGCATGCCTGGCCTCGCCTCCTGCTAACCATTGTTCCCGCCATCTCTTCCCGCAGGGCTTCTATTTCGACCGCGACGATGTGGCTCTGGAGGGCGTGCGCCACTTTTTCCGCGAATTGGCCGAAGAGAAGCACGAGGGCGCCAAGCGTCTCTTGAAAATGCAAAACCAACGCGGCGGCCGCGCCCTCTTCCAGGACGTGCAGGTAAACAGTGTGTGGGCATTGGACTACATCTCCCAACAGTCCCTGCACTAGAGGCCCCTTGACTGTATTGGTTTAGGCACCGCGTAGGCCTCTCGGAGACTGAGTTCAGTCTTTTGTGGGTTATTACAGCTGGAGATCGAGGCGCACCCAGTTCTCCCAAGACGTGGCGGTCTAGAGCGCAGCGTGTAGTATCCTGGGACGTGTAGTTATAGGAGACTGGGGAATGATAGATACAAACTCTTAGACGTTTTTTTCCGATTAAGCCCTCTACTCTCGCAACTACTGGAAAATTAGTTTTTAGTCCTTTCCAGAGTATGTGGCTAGTACTGAGCCGTTTGTTTTCGGTATAGAAGCCATCTCAAGATGAGTGGGGTAAAACTCAGGACGCTATGGAAGCCGCCATTAAAATGGAGAAGAACCTGAACGAGGCCCTTCTGGATCTGCATGCCCTGGCTTGTGCCCGCGCAGACCCCCACGTAAGTATCTCCAGTCATGTCTATGAGACCTTCCCTGGAATGATGCTTACATACGAAGCATTGGCCTCATTTGATTGGGCAGATTTCCTTCTGAGCCTCCTTCCCCCATCTGTCACATTGTTAGATCTGTACGTGGCAACATTTTCTCCTCTTTTATCACTCAGCTCTGCGACTTCCTGGAGAGCCACTTCCTAGATGAGGAGGTGAAACTCATCAAGAAGATGGGTGACCACCTGACCAACCTCCGCAGGCTGGCTGGTCCCCAGGCTGGGCTGGGCGAGTATCTCTTCGAAAGGCTCACCCTCAAGCACGATTAGGAGCCTCCGGAGCCCAGTGGCCTTTGAGGAACCCCTCTGGTGTCAGGGCTTCTGCCTGAAGCCCCTCTCTGCAGCCAGTAGGCAGCTTGTTAACCACACTAGAGCCCTCTCCCAAGCCTTGGACCAAATGGAAACAATAAAGCTTTTTGCAGCAGCTAGTGGTTTTATGTGTGTATCCTGGGAAAAAAGGTGGGATCTGTTTTCACAAGGCTTCTGGCTGCATTGGGCTGGCAGGGAGAGAGGAGTTTGGCGCTCTACTTCTAAGACATAATAACACCTGTGGGGTGTTGCTGTAGTGGGTTTTCTGCTTTGCCAGGCTGTTAACTGCCCCTCCTAAGATGGTAGAGCCCAGACTCCAGGGAGAGTCTAGTAAAACCTGGGGTTGCTAGCTGGAAGCAGACAGCTGTTAAGGAGATCAGTAATGAGAAACCGGTTCACATGAGTTATGTTGCTAGGCACTTGCCAAACTCTGAAAGTACTCTGCCTCAATTCTGGGAGGCTAAGTAGAAATGTGAGCTCCTTTATATGGGTAAGTTGAGACAAACTGTGTAAATTACCCATGGTAACCGGGAGGCACACCCAGGTTTGACCTCCAAAGGCTGTTTGTTTCAGGTGTGGAATTCAAGGCACATAATAGGTAGAAACTGGCTAGTGGGTCTGAGCAGCTGAGGGCACATGATGTGAAAGAGGTGCTGAGCTAGGGGGTTCAGGGCTCAGTACAGACAGAAATGGGATGTGAAATTATCCAAATGGGAACTGAAGAAGCTTGAAGATGACGTAAGCAGCTGCTGGGTCCAAGCAATAAAACGCTGTCAGCTCTGACCCCCCCACCCCATCCTATTTCTGGTAGCCGAATCTAAGAGGAAACGGCTGCTCAGCACCGTGCCTCTCCTGCTGGTAACTGGTGGGGGAGGGGACTCGGGTGTCACAAACACTGCGGCTGACAGAAAGATGGTCACACATCCAACTTCAATCAGAGCTTTCTACTCCCCTGAAAAGCGATTGATTCGGAGATGCACGTGTAGCCTAGGGACGATCAGAACTGAAAGGAGAAAAAGATATTTTTCCAAAAGTAGAGTCATCCAGGGGACAGTAGGGCCAGAGGCCAGAGTCCTAGAAACATGCTCTAAGCCAGTGCTGTCCAACAGAACTTTTTGCAGGGATGGAAGTATTCTGTATCTGTGCTGTCCAGTAGGGTAGCCACGGGCCACGTGTGGCCACAGTGGCTATTGAGCCCTTGCATATGGCTAGTGCTACTGAGGAATTTAAGAGCCTGGGGCAACTTTGCCACTTGCAAGTCGAGTCAAAAACAAGAGAGTTGCCTTCCTTTGAAATAACACTGGAATCCAGTGGCAATCCAAGTCTCTAAGACAGTAGAATGAGACAAGAGAACCGGGACCCAGCAGTGGGCAAAGGGAGGAATCAAGAGGTGAAGAGGGAAGGAAGAGGAGGGTGGGGCCAGGATTGAGGCCCACCAAGCCCTCCGGTCAGACTAGACCTGAGATTCTTAAATATAGATGTATTTTTTCATCTCTGGACACACTTCAATCACACCCCTTCTGCCCTCCCCCCTCCCAATTGCAAACCAAGGGCAGCAGACACAGCACAGCACACGTGAGGGGCCCCTCCCTTTCACCAAAGCTGGGGGCAGGGCACAGCTTAGGGATGGAAGAGCCTCGAGGTAAATATGGAGGTTCTAGAATCCAGTGGGCTGAGTTCTAGACCAGAGGGAAGGGACCAGGATGCAGCAAAGTGGTAAAGTTCTAAATTTGGCAGCTGGGACCTAGAATCCAGTGGTTTCATGGTGGGTCTAGCGGTTGGGGGTTATGTGTGCAGGTACTGGGGAAGACAGCCAGTTGTCCTCAGCAGAGGGATTCCCTGTAGGGCGCAGGAGTTTAGAGATATGGGGAAGAGTTCAGACTCAGAGAAGAAGGAGTAGGGTCTGGTCCAGAAAGGCATCTAGACCAAGACAGCTTGTTCTCCAGTAGGAATGAGAAACCAAGTGGTTCTGCCCCCACTTGCTTGGCCAAAGTGCAGAGGAAGAAGGGAGCAGGGGCGGAGGGATCCTCCAGGCAGAGCCGGACACCCCAGGAAGGGCTAAATCACAGTAAACACGAGTGCACTGGCCTGGAGCCCGAGTTCTGGACTTAACCTGCATTAAGTCCCTGAAAGTGCCCCAGCTCTGGACTTGTCTCATTAGCACGGACTGCACGTGGTTTCCAGTGCTTGGTGGCCCCGGGCCAGGCCTGGGCATGGCAGGCTCTGTATGCTGTAAAATTAGCAAGCCGCAAGGGGCTCAAGGAGCCCCAGCATAGAAGGCAACAGAGCAGGTTTCTGAAAACCTCTGGCACCACGGCAGGATAATGGCAGATTCCTGGCCTCTGGGATGGCCTGGGGGACTCCAGGGCACAGATTATGCATTCTGGAACCCAAGAAAGGCACGGCGTTGAGGATTCTGGAGTGTTTGGGATTTCGAGAGAGGAGCTAGAGGGGCTGGAGTGTATGGCGGAGGGGGTAGGGCTGTGGACCCCACAGAGGGCTAGGGATCTGGAGTGGAGTTTAGGGACAGCGCCATTCTGCATCCACCCTCAAGATAAGGGAGGCAGTGTTGGCAGGGGAGTGCGGGTCAGGGGACTTAGTTGCGCTCCTCGCCCAGGGAGCTGGCGGGGCTGAGGGGCTCGCTGGGGGTGCTGACTGAGCTGGAGGGCGCTGTGTCCACCGAGCCACGCTTGCTCCCGCCGGTTGAGGACGTGCAGGAGGCGCGGCGCGGCCACTCCGGGGCGCGGATATTGCGCCGGTCCTTTGCAGCCTCCTCGTCCTCGTCGTAGCGCTCGCCATCTTCATCGGGTGGTCCGTCCCGGGGCTCCTCCTCATCCTCGCTCTGGTGCGGGCTGGAGTGTCTCGACAGTGAGGGCGATGGTGGCACTGAGGCTGGCCGCGGGTAGCGGTAGCCCTGGGTCTGCGTACGGAGGTGTGGGCACAAACCGTATAGTGAGCAGAGGCCTCTGCAGCCTGCCTGGGCGTCCAGCGTCCTTGAGGCCTTGCAACTCCAGGAGGGACACCCTACTTCACCCCACCCTTCTAGCTCCTGGCCCCCCCTAGAGAGACCCCGGATCCACTTACCGCATCAGCCTCGTGGGGCTCGTAGGTGAACTGTTCTGGAAAGGCCTTGGCCAGCGCCATGTGGCGCGCAGACATGTAGTACTTGTTGGGGGGGAAAGAAGAGGAGTGGGCATCAGGGGACAGGAGCCTGACCCCGCCCCCAGCAGGTTTGGAGGTGGGGTGAAGCCTGGTTACACGTTTTATGCAGATGAGCACAACCTGCGGTGGTTTCCAGTTGGCCCCTCTGCCAATCATCCATCTTTCAGGCTCCACCCCTTATGTAGATAAGCAGAGCTGTGAATGGACAGTCTCTGAGCCACACTCCTTTAACAGGGGCGGAATTCTCCAGTCAGGTACCTCTTTGGCCGCACCCTTATGCAAATATAGAACTTCCCACCTCGGTGGTCTTCCAGTCTGAAAGTTGATTCTTTTCTTAAAGGGACAGCAAGCGTTACAAATAGGAAGAGACCATGCCCTTTGCGCCAGCTTTCGAGGCACGGGGAATCAGAGACCCAGAGCCGTAAGTGACTTATTCACAGCAGAGGACAGGGAGGGGAATTATACCCGGCCTAGGTATTTCCAGTCCAGAAGGTCGGAGAGGCGCTCCGTGCGGTTCCGCTGGATAATGCGCTGCCGCCGGCTCTGCTGGCAGAAACTGTAGAGGAAGGAGGTGAGCTGCGAGCAAGAATCATCCAGGCCTCGGAAACGCCGGTCCAGAATGTAGATGCCTGTCGGGACCAGGAAGAGTCTCAGAAAACAGACTGGGGAAACCTTCATTGTCTCTGGGACTCTGCGGACACCAGGACGCCTCCTCCCACTGGGACTCAGGAGTCCACCCCCTCCTCTCTTAGTGACCCAAGAGACCACGCCCCTCCTTCCCAGGATCCAAGAGTCCCGGCTCTCATTCTGGGCGCTGACCGTAAGCTGAGGGGTCTGCGATGTGTTCCTCCATGAAGCAGCCGAAACCAGAAAGGTTGGTGGAGACACTGGGGATACCCATAACCGTGCACTCAGCTGCGGGAAGGCGTGAGAAAGGTCCGCTTAGCTTGCCCCTCTTTATTGCCTTAAATCCCAGTGAAAGCCCCAATGGCGCCCTCTATTGGCGCCTTTAATAAGAGCCGGGCGCTGTGCCGCGCAAGTCAGGAACCAGACAAATTAGGCTGTGCATTAAAGTATGATAGTCCCTATTCCTTAGAGGGGAAGCTACTAGGCTCAGAAAAGGGAATTCATTTGCCCCAAGGTCTCAGGGTAAGGAAGAGTCCATAATTGGGTAATAAGGATGCTAATTTATTGAGCACGGTATTCTGGGCCAATGTCTACCATTTTAATTTATCCTCATGACCTGTAAGACACTTTTTTGTGCCAGACTGCACTGTTTTGGTTGTCATAGCTTTATAGTCTGTTTTGACAAGAGGTAAGACAAGGTCTCTCATTATTACTATCACTGTGTACAGAGCACCTACTACACCTCGCTTACTCCCTTAAATAACGCTGAGAAATGCTTCAAGGAGTTTATTATAATTTTTATATAAGTGTTTCTAAAAACCTCTGTAAGCTGCGAAAGTAGGCACTACATATAACAAGGCTTATGGGAAAAATAGGGTTGGAGCTGGTCACTGTGCACCATTTTAACCGTGGATGAAACTGGCAAACTTGTCAAATCACTCATCATTTAAGAAATATTACAGCAAATGTGGTGTTTATTTTGCCTTAAAAACATATGAAAGTAGCTTGATTGTTAGAGAACAAGCTGTGCATTTAGCTGTTGTTGTTTTGGGGAACCAAACAGTAGCAAATTGGGAGAAATCACGTGTGAACTCTGACATCAGCCCTCTAGTTACTCACATGAGCTACTGTGTCACAAAAACACATGAACAGACTTGTTTCCATTGTTCCTGTTTTGCAAAGGAGGAGTCTGGAGCTCAGGAAGGGCCAGTCCCTTGTCCTGGGATCACACCAGACGCTGAACTCACCTGGTGTGTAGCCCCAAGGCTCATAGTAGGAGGGAAAGACGCCCAGGTGGCAGCCGCGGACGAACTCCTCATAGTCCACAGGGAGCAGGGGGCTCGTGGAGGAGAGGAACTCCGGGTGAAAAATCACCTGGCAGTGGAAGACAAGGGCTCAGCCCGAGCACCTTATTTAGCTACTCCCTGGGGATCCCAGAGAGGATGAAAAAGTTGTCTAAAGCCACACAAGACAGTGTCAGGACAAAGACTGGAATCCAAGTCTGACTCAGAAGCAAAGGTTCTTTCTAAACATTGCAATCCTTTGACATACAGGGGAGATGGGGAATGTGAGGCTCAGGCTCCAGCCCCCATATCACCGCCCTCCCCAGCACCACCCCCCCCCATGCCCAACCCACCCTGGCCAGTGCCCTCACCTTGACCCTGTCGGCACTACTATTGAAGAGGCCAATTCGGCGGATGGTGGTCAAAATAGGATCTGAGGAGTCGTCCAGCATATTGTGGGTGCACACAGGAGGGAAAGACTGCCGCTGTAGGGGCCACAAGTGGGGTCGGGGGGGTCAGGGAAGGGACAGAGGGCTTCCTACTTCCCCATGAGCTATGCTCATCCTGGGGATCTAAGGAGACAATTCCCATCAGGTTGTGGAGCAACAAACCCAAGAGATTACCAGGAGTTGTAGATTTCCTACTTGTCTCTATCTGTAAAGGTTTCCTTTTCCCTTTAACCACCATAAGCCGAAAAGAAACTACAATCCCAGCTGTCTTAGAGGCAGAGCCAGTGTTAACATGCCTCATAGACTAGAGGGAGTTGTAGCTATCTTGTTCTGTACTCTGGGCTTTCATCAAAGAAACCCAAAGGGACTGTAACTCCCAGCAGTTGATGGGGGCTGTGCCTTTCAGGGGCTGCTTGCCGGAAGTTATAGTTTTCTTATGAAAATCCTGGATCTCTTTCTCTCCAAGTTCCTTTTACTCTCCATCCTGTATTCTCTCCACCTCCACCCTCAAAAGAGGCCCAGAGAAACCACAATTCCCAAGAGCCACTGGAGGAAGACAGAGCTAGTGTGATAGCAGTCCCGGGGGCTGCTGGGATATATAGTTCTTTGCAGCTGTCCCATTATTCCTCTCATTAAAAGATCTACTCATCTTCAGTTTACTGACTCCAGGAGCCCAGGAAACTACAACTCCCAGCAGCCCCATGGCAGAAACATCCTCAGTGAGGCCGACTGCCTTAGGAACTACTGGAAATTATAGTTTGGTCAAAAACAATTCACACCTTGTTTGTGCAACTTGGCTGTCTTGGTTTCCATTCCCCAGGATTGGGGGAAATCACCAACCCTGACTATAGGTACCAAAAACCCTTGACTCCAGAGAATAAAAGAACTCTAATTCCCAGAAGTTTCTGGGGCAAGGGAAGAGTCAAGGTAGCAGAAAGCCCTGGGGGCTGCTGGGAGTTGTGGTTCTCATTTTGTGACTGCTAATTTTCTCTAAGGTTTCCCACCCATCTAATTAACCCCAGATATCTAAAGAAGCTACAACTCCCAGGGGTATTTGGAGACTAAGACACAACCAGTGGGATAAGAAACAGTAGCTGCTGAAAGTTTTCAATGTTCTTCAGTGAATAACTGTTGTTTTTGTTGTTTCTTCTTCTTCTTTGATCGCACCATGCGGCACGTGGGATCTTAGTCCCCAATCAGGGATCGAACCCGCACCCCCTGTATTTGAAGCACAGAGTCTTAACCCCTGGACTGCCAGGGAAGTCCCGAAATAATTTTTTTAGCTGACCTGGCTCTATCCCTAGAGGCCCAACAAAACTACCACTCCCAGCAGTCTCTGGGGGAAGAGGTGGAGGTAGCTTGCAGCAAGGCCCAGGGTTAGCTGGGAGTTGCAGCTCTCCTTTTGTGGCTATCTTGACTTTAGTTTAAGGTCCCTTCCACCTTTTGTTCATGGATCCCCAAGGACTCAAAGAAACTACAACTCCCAGAAGCCTCTGTGGCAGAATAAGCTGTGGGAAAGCAGGCTGCCCTAAAGGCTTCTGGGAATTCAAGTTCTACCAGTCAGCTCACACACACCCTTCTGACTTCAGAATTGATTCCTTGAATAAGCACTGCCAACAAAGCAGAACTCCCAGCCATCTCTGGGATCAGAGCTAACACGGCAAGCTGCCTCCAGGGCTGCTGGGAATCGCCATCTTTCGACTCAGGAGTCCAAACCATACCTGCGTGGCAAAGATGGCTCTCTTCATCATAGTGAAGTCTTCCTTGTCCAGCATCTTGTTCATGTCTGGGAGGCTCCCCCTGTAAGGTGAGCAGTGGGATGCATCTGGGAATGGGTGATGAGAGGGTTTAGAGCCCAGGAGGATGCAGGGCTGAGGGCGGGACACTCACACCAGCAAGGATTCATAAAGCTTCCTCCCAAACTTCTCCTTCACTGTGTTGGCCGTATCCCTGGAAGGAGCAGAGCGACAACATCACTTATAGACCAGCTGCCATTTATTGTTAGGCTTCTGGGGCAGCTGGGAAGTTGAGGTCTGAGCAGAGAAGCTCTGGATATTTCTGGCTGGAGGATGGAGACTCAGGGAATAGGCCCTGGAAGGCTCGGATCCCTTGTGCTTTGCATCAGCTCTGCGGCCAGGGACAGGTGGCCTTCCCTCTCTGACTTCAATGCCTCATCTGTCAGATGGGGATAAAAATAGAAGCAACCTCAAAGGTTTGCAGTGAGAATTCGATGAGGTCATCACAAGAAGTGCACAGTGCCCATCACACAGTGAGCCTTCCAAAAATGTCAGCTATTATTAGGACCTAGGCTAGTCCTGGTAGTCGTGATGCTAAGCCCCATTTTAGAAAAAGGGAAAATTACATTCTGAGAGAGGAAAATGTATGGACACAAGTAAAGCTAGCAAAGAGTGCCACCCTACAACTTCATTGACATTCCTCTGTTCATGGTCCTCTCGTAGCTCTAGCCTCATTTTCTACCCCATCTCCCTAGGGTACTCTGCTTCAGCCCTGCTGGCTTCCTTGCTGTTTCTCAAACATGCCTCAGGGCCTTTGCACTTGCCATTCCCTCTGCCTGAAATGCTGTTCCCCAGATACACACAGGGTTTCCTCCCTTGTTTCCTCTCTTGGTCTCTACTTGCTGGCACTTACTCAGTGTGGCCTGTCCTGACAACCCTGTCTCATATTCCAGTCCTGCTTTTTTTTGCCAGAGCACTTTCTATAGAACTTTCTAGAATGTGAACACAATAAGGGCAGGGATTTTATCTTTCTGCCTCACAGCTGTGTTCCCAGTGCCTAGAACAGCACCTGGCACGCAGTAGGAGCTCAAGAAATAGCTGATGGCTAATAGGTGTTTTTTACAGATGAGGAAACTGAGGCTTGAAGATGGGGAGTGGTTTGCCTAAAGTCACAAAGCCAGAGCAGGACAGGGGCATGAGCGGGATCTCGCCAGCTTGATACCAGAGCCCTGGTCATGCTGTCACACTTGTCCTGCCTGCGACTGCGACTTCGTACTGCCCCCGAGTTGCAGGCATCTGGAGCAAGTAACTTTGCTGGGAATCAGGTGGGGGATGGGTTGATCATGTCACAGATGACAAAACTGAGACTCCAGGAGAAACAGGGGACCCAAAGCACACAGCTGGGAGTGGGAGCGGCAGGGATGCCGGGCCGAGGGCTGCTGACCAAAGCTGCTTGCGCACGGCTTGGCCCTTAAGGGTTTCCACGTTGAAATTGTTGGTCCGAGCTGGCATGATGAAGAAGGCAACCACTGTCTGCTCGCTGCCATTCACCTGGGGCAGAGGAAAGGGAGGGTGTGTGTGTGTGTGTGTGTGCGTGTGAGTGTGTGAGGCTCACATGGGAGAAGGCTGTCCCACCCTTTGCCACCCCCCAAGACCACGAGGACCCTGCCATGCCCCTCACTGTCAAGGAGAATTATAGGACAGAGCTACCATTCCCACGGGGACTCTGATCTTTCTGGGTCCCTACACTCCTGTTTTACACATGGGTTTCCCTGCCCCCACCTCCCCAGGTCTCCGTTCTCCCCAGTCATGTACTGATTTTTTCATCCTCCTTGTCCCCTTGCAGCCCAGGCCTTACTCTGAGCAGATAGTTGAGCCGGGCCAAGGCCTCCAGGAAGACATCGGCCCCCTTGTTGGAGAATTCATAGCGGCCAGCGATAAAGAAGTACAAGGTCTTGTCCAAGTTGAAGTCCAGGTGCCTAAAGAAGCCACAACACAAGGTGAAGCCAAGACCCTCGCCCACTAGCCCCAGCCTTGAAACTACAAACCCCAGAAGCCACAGGGGCAAAGAACATCTTAGGACAGAGGCATCATGGGAACTCCTGGGAATTGTTCTTTTCTCCTTAGATGGGGATTTCCTTAAATACTCAGCCATTGTTCTGGCGCTCAAGAACTCAAGAGGCTGAGTCCTCAGCTGTCCCCTCTGCTGGCCCCAGGAGTCTGGGTTCCCAACCACCCTCTCTCTCAAGACCTAGGTATCTGGCCTACATACCCATAAAAATGGCCCCGCACAAACTCCTGGATTCGAGCCTTGCTCTGAGCATGGAGGTTCTGGAACTCATGCATGGCAGAGAATTTCTTCACATTCAGTCCATTGGGGGTCACGATATCTGGGATTGGGGGAGAAGGTCCCACATTTCATTTCTTCATTTCTTCGTTCAGATCAATGTGGCTGAATGAATAAATGAAGGAAAGACCCCTTTCCTTTCACGATGTCTTTGTTTCAATAGCTCCCCAGTGAGCTCCTGTGGTGACCCAGCTGCCCTGCCACTCAGATACCTTCTTGCCCAATATTGCATGCTTATATTCACAAGCCTGACTACAACTCCCATCAGCCCCTGTGAATGGCTAACCAGACAGGGAACAGAGCAACATCGGGGCTTCTGGGAGTTGTAGCTCTTTTGTTTCCCCTATGCCACCCTGAGCTGGGGGGATGAGTCAATGTCCCCATCCTGCTTCTCTATCTTCAAGCCTCTTTTAGGGCCCCAACCATTTCCTATTATCATAGAAATTAAAGCGTATCAGTGAAAAACTATAACCTCCATCAGCTCCTGGGGCAAAATTTCAGGAATATAAGGAGCTAGACAGCCAAAGGTATTCTGGGAGTTATAGTTCTCACCTTATACCCAATGAGAATGGATGCTATAGTTTGGGAAGAATAACTGGTTCCAACACTGCTTTTCTCAAAAACAAAATGCAAGGAACCTCCTTCCTCTTTCAGAAGACCAATATCTACATTAGCCAGTAAAAGAATTTTACCATTTCTGAAATTAAAGAAACTACACTTCCCATTAGCCTCTAGGGCAAGCAGCCAGGCAGCCTCATATTCAGGTCACCAACCTAGGGCATTTTAGGAGTTGTAGTTCTCTGCTCTTTACAGCAAAAACATTGCAACAGGCCTTGGCATAGACTACCTCGCTTACGTCTACAGACCCAGGCCTATTTCCTACCTGGTTTCCTTTTGAGTAGGTGCTGAGCCTCAATGGCGGTAATCTGGGACACGGTAGTGAAGACATGAGCGCAGTGGGCTGCCGCCCGCTCCATGCAGTAGCGGTGATAGATTTGCCTCTCACCTGCTTCCTTGTCCACGTTGAACTGGGTAGGGAGGGAGGGCAATCAGGTTAGAAGAACTGGGGAGAAGACAGGCGGTCCAGACTCCAGGGTCTTAGGGGAGATTGGGCCATGAAGCTGGACTCCTGGGCCTGAGGGTGGAGGGGGTTGGGGACTTGGATTCCTGGGTCCTGGGGGAAGAGGGAACTTGATCCCCTTGGGCTTTGCAGACAGCCTCGGGCTGTCCTGAAATATTGGCAACCCCCATCTGCCATGCTCCCAGCTCACATTCTCCAGGTTGTTGTAGAAGTCCACGGCACCGGCACACAGGTATCGCCCCAGCAGCGTGGCGTGGGTCGTGAAGATGGTAGCCACGGGCAGCCGCCGGGCACGGCATAGGCAGAGCCCGATGCCCGCCAACCACTCATGGAAGTGTGCAACCACATGTGGTTTCTCCTCGCTCTGGGCCAGGAACTGTGGGGCAATAGGGATAGGGAGACACACATGTGTCTCCATGTGTGTTGTGAAGACAACCAGCAATCCCCAACGTGGATGAGGAAGCAGGGGAGAGGTCAATCTATCCCCACAACCGCACAGAGTGGGTGGTGACCCATTGCAATCCCCATGGGACAAGGAGCTCTAAATCCTTAAGGCAGCCAGACTAGCTAGCTGACTTCATTCCCAGAGGCTGATGGGAGCTGTGTTTTTTTGACCAACCTTCGAAGTCCCAGAAGGGCTGAATTGGAAAGACCAAAGTTTTAGTGTCCCCAAGTCCTGAACACAATTCCTGGACACCTTTTATGTTAATCAAGAGTAGACCTGTACCGGATACTGGTTGAAGGACTACAACTCCCAGAATGCCCTAGGAGCGGCCAATTCATAAACTGTCCCAGGGTATGGGAAACGAGTTTCTTGAGCCTTTTAAAACCTGAGAGGGTCCGAATTGGGGTTCCTGGTTCTCAGATAGGCTGGGGATTCCCAAACATCCGGAGACTCATCTGAGAGCCAAGTCCCGCCCATATTAGAGAACTACAACTCCCAGAACTCCCTGGGGGGTGAGCCCTCCCGTCAAGCCAGCCTCCCCAAGAGCTAATGGCTTAGAATTCCTATATTTGGAAGACTGGAGTGAATGAAGCTGGGGTTGGGAGACTGGGTCTTTGAGGAAAGAAGAATCTTGGCCCCTGGATGTCCATATTGCCAGAGATCAGAGCTAATCCTCGGTTTAAAGGACTACAACTCCCAGAATGCTCTGGGAGACACTGGCCACCCTCTGGCCTCGGATGGCCATTGTAATTTGGGGCCTAGGGTAGAAAGGAGTGACACGGGGATTGGCAGTGGGGCCTACCTCACCCAGGAACCAGGTGGTGAGGAAACCAAAAAGGACGGCGTCGTTGCCTTCCCGGTCATACCAGGGCACCCCGATGTTGCACGTGTCCCATAGCTCCCCCTTCCAGCGCTCCAGGGCCCAGGCTGAGGCCCCCACGTCGAGGAGCACCACCAGGGGGCCCCCCTCGATCAGCCAGCGCCCGAAATACACCTGCAGGGGGACACAGGGAGGCTTAGGGTTTTGGCCACCTGTCTCTGGGCACAGCAACTGCGTTTCTCCCATCCCCAGGGAGACGTCTGGGTTCATGGCCTCAGTGCGTCTACCTTCTGTTTCTGTATCTGCTGCTAATTTCTCACCTACTGCCTTATTTCTCTATTTGCCATTAGTTATTCCCACCACAATTTTTTCCCATCTCGGCTGCAGCATCTCCCTATCCCTTGCTTAGTTTCTCTAACAGTTGCCTCCCTTCTCTACTTATAAACCCACATTGCACGTGTCCTGTCTCTGTGCCCCCACTGCCTTATTTCTCCACCCTGCTAATCATTTCTCCAGCTCGCTGCCTTGCTTCTGTGTTCGCTGCCACATTTCTCTCACCAACCATAATGCTGCTTTCTCCCATTATCTTTCCTTTCTGCCGCTCACTCCTTGTACTGGCTCCTTCTTCTTCCACTCGCTCCCTTGTTTCTGATCCTTTCGCCATATATTTGTCACCTGCTTCCTCTTTTCTCTGCCCATAGGCCCATCTTGTACTTTGCAGCCTCATTTCTAACACTGCCCACCCACTTTCCATGCATGGGGGCTACATTTTTCTACCCACTGCCGTGTTTCTAAGCCTCGTGGTCGCATTTCTGGCCCTGCCACGTTTCATTGATCTGTTGCTTTCCTCCTGAGACCGTGATCCAGATTTTGGGCCTGCTGCCAGATTTTGGGCCGAAAAGCCGTCCTACTCATCCCCAACCTGGCTTTTCCCGGCTTTAGGCGCCTGACCCCCTATGCTCCTCCCCCTCCCAGCTGTTGTCTGCCCTTTTGCTGGGGGGGCTATTCTTAGGCCCCCAGCACATGGACAGCAGCTGCCATGGGGGAGGGACTGGGCCGCCCTAGGGTTCCTTAGGGACACAGTCCCGTCTAACTGGACTCCAGACCCCACCCCAAATCAGAGGCTGTGAATGAATGAAGGCAGCATTGTACCTCTCCCTCCCAGACCCAAATGTCTGCACCTCAGCCATGCTGCCTTATGGCCTTCTCCCTGGGGGACAGCCACCTCTCTGTCCTCATCCTTCAATTCTCAGCGGGTGCCTGGGACTCTCCCCTCCTCCTTTTAATTCCTGGCTGCGCATCCAAAACTCTGTCCCCTGGGTTTGCCTGCCTACCTCTCCTCCCTTCCTCAATATTCCATCTTCCTCTCTCCTTCGAGATCCTTCTCTCTAAAACATCAGGCTACCTCTTTTCTGTATCTGGACTCTGTCTATCTCCCTATTGCTCTAACCACTGGGGCCACCATCACTTTTTGGAACACTCAGCCTCTCTCCATTGCCTGCCTGTCCACCTCAGTCTGCAAGTGTGGCTGCTTTCAGTAATAATGACGATGATAATAATAACCACGACGACACCTCACAGCTCACAGACAGTACTAACTGCATGCCAGGTCCTGGGCTGAACACTTTTTATGAACTATTTCATCCTCCCAGGAAACCTATAAAGCGGATGCTATTAGCATGTTAATTCGCCAAGGTCACAAGGCAGGAAGCAGAGAAGGCGAATTTGAACTTCAGGCTCCAGAACTCCTGCTCTGGCCTCCTGCCTCACCCCCAAGCCCACCTCCCCTGGGTTTTGTCTGGCTGTCCATCTAGCTCTTTTCCTCTCTCTGGATCTGAGGATCTTGGCCTCTTAGGACCATCTTTCAGTCTGTCTCATACCTGCTGTCTGTCAGTCCATTCACCAATGTCTTAGAGCTGGGGGTTCACCCACTCACTTCACGGGGTCCTGCATCTGTCTGAGTGTCTGTCAGATATCTGCCCGGGAAAGTGCTGGGCCATCCTGAGTTTCTGTCCATGCCTCCCTCTCTCCCTGGGGCTGTCCTTCCCCTGCTCCTTCTCTCGCTGCTGCCCCCACCCTGCCCTCAGCCGGGCCATGTCCCACCTTGCAGCCCTTGCTGTTCATGGAGTCCAGCGTCCTCTTCAGGGCTGGGGTCGGGGGCTCGAGCAGTTCCACCTGGGTCCTCACGCCCTGCTCCGTGTACGGTCCCACCAGGTAGTAGTTGTCGCCCCACTCATCCCCTGTCACCTTCGCCTTCGTCTGCAGCACCGTGTAGATGCCACCCACTGTGGGCAGAGGTCCACAGATCTGGGGCCTGGGGCGGGGCGGGGGGTGGGGCCGCGGGAGCCCCGGACCTCTGGCTCAGAGGGAAAAGGGGCCTGGGAGCCCACACTTCAGAGTCAGAGGAAGGAGGGGAGAGGGCAGTGGTGGACAGTACTCCTGGGTCTGTGGGAGAAGGGGGCTGGGGTCGGGACTTGAAGGGAGGAGGGTGCTGAGTCTGAGAGAAGGGGCTGGGGGCCTAGGCTTCTAGGTGTGAGGGAATTAGGGGCAGGGGCTGAGGAGGACATAACCTGACAAGGGTTATTAGGGCCTAGCTTCTTGAGTTCCCAGCTTACAGGAGCTGGATTTAAATTCCCAGTCAGGCTCCAGGACACAGTAAGGGAGAATCCCTCTTCGTGGCCTCATTTAGGTTCTCGGAGTTGCCCCAAAGAAGCCAGAGCTGTTATTCCTCACCCACCACGGACTCTGCCGACCTGTCCCTCAGTTCCCTCTCCCTACATGGGGAC